TATTATAACAGACTATTGCAGGTGAGAGGAGGATGTGATTAAAAATGAAAGCAATTGAAGCAAATTAAAAGTAAAGGAGATAGATAAAACTTAAAGACTGGAAAGATATCAAACTTCAGCACCTGTGTCTTTTCAAATGCTGTGTTGGGTCAAATCCCAGGATTTTTAGCAGGGAGAGAGAGAGGCAAAAACTTGAGTCATTCGTTATATGTCCTAAAGAACATTGATCTAAAAACAAATCGAGGGTTTATAATTGTATATTGCTTACAAGCACATGTTAAATCTGTAAGTAAAGTTAACAGGATATAAAGGCTTTTGTTTCCTTGACCTGGCTTTATCTGTAATTTCGATTGTAAGAGGCTAGGCTTGACACTTCCTAAAGATTCCCAGGATCCTGGGCAAAGATTGGGGGTACATGATTATCTAATAGAAAGTTCTACTCTGTATTAGAATCATCAAATCATCACCAGTCTTTCTAGCTATGTATCTAGATAAAGGAGGGGAACAGCACATAATATCCATGTACGAAATAGAAGTGGTAACTAACAGGAAATAAAATTTAAAATGTGTCTAAAGATTAGCTTTCCCAAAGCTTCAATTCATGGTATGCATGGACTTGAGGTGCTTCATTTATAATAGAGCCAGACACAATGTGAAATAATTGACATAATATGGACAGACGGAATGAATGAGGTGCTTATTACTTTAATCACTTTGAGTTACTCTGCCACACTGAGGTGAAGAACACAACCAAGATAAAATTGGAATGATCAAAAGAGATTATGAAACAGTAAAGGTCAAAGGCAAGTGTTTTTTTGGGGGGTGAGGGACAGAGAGAGGCAATTAAATGTTAGAGGTCCAGAAAGGTGTTTACTATCATCTCAGCATACTGGTATATAGTACATGGAAGTTCATTGTTTTCCTTATTTGGTTATTCTCCATATCAGTTAATACAGTATGTAAGGAACCCATTCGTGGAATCTCTCCCTAGTAATTGACTCCTTATCTTGGGTGCTTGCAGAAGAGGAAGATAATTGGAAGAGGACAATATTTGCAAAAGACCTAGATGCATGAAAGAGCATGGACCTGTTTAGAACACTGGAATCCAAGGCATATCTGGGGAAGAGACAGGAATCAGTACTGGAGAAGTTGGTCAGAAAGCAAATCAGAAGAGCTGTTGATGCGTCTCTGCCAGAAAGTCACTGTTAGTCTGCGAGTAATAGCTAATTATTGAAGGGATTTTAAGGACTAGGGATCTGCATTTATTATTATTATTATTATTGTTTCAAAACATTCTTGGAACCAAAGTGGCTAAATTTGAGTCAAGAAAATGCTCATGCCTTTGTCTAGATAAAGAAAATGCTCATCACCTTTGTTCAGTGAAAGGCGACTAGCATTTTCCTTATCTAGACAAATAAAGAAAGTTGAGGCGGTGGGGGTGAAAGAAGGAAATGAATCAGAGAAATCACTAACAATTGAAAAACAGCATGTTGAGGATGAGAGAGAGCAGGAAATCCAGCATGACGTCAGGTTTCTGGATGTGCTGACTGGGAGGCAATGTGGCCATTAACGGTGAGGAGAAATTTCAGAGGAAGAACAAATTGGGGTTCAGCAGCAATGACTTCACTTTCCAACCTGTTGAATCTGAGGCAGTTGGTTAAATATTCAAGTAGATTAATCCAGAGGATAGTTGGAAATATGGTCTCGAGGTACCAACTTAGAAGGTACTCACCTAGTGTCATTTATCATATGAGTATATGTAGAAAGATTGTGTAGGGTAAGAAGGAAAGAACTGGCAAGGAGGATGCCCAGAGAACCACATTTAAGGGATGAATGAATGCAAATTAGTCTACAGATTGACTAGAGACAGCAGAGAAGTAGGAGGTGAACAAAAGGAGAGAGGTAAAATCAAGTTCAGGGAAGCAGAATTTCAATGCTTGTGCAACAGTCAACCCAAATAAATGGGGCAGAAAGGTCAAAATCACTGAAAAGTGCTGATTGAATGCAACAATAAAATCATGGAGTTTCAATAGGATAGTGGGAACAGAAGCCAGTAATTGGGTGAAAAGCGAATGAATGAGAAAAATAAAGCATGGGTTGAGTGCTTTTTTCAAAAATTTCTGCTGTGAAGGAAAAGAGGTAGGGTTAAAAGTACAATTGCTAAAGGAATTTAAGAAGTATTTTGGTATATTTGGTATGTCTATATTTGTTTTAGAAGCATAGAGCATGTAGACAGGGTATAGGACCAGGAAGCATACGCAGAGCCAAGAGCAAGCTGATGGGGCCACTGGCCTCTGATCTGCCGGGCATTAGAGAGACAATAATTATGACGGCAAACTGAAATAGTACTTACTATGCTAGAAACACTCTTCTGTATTTTGTTTACATGTATTAATTTGCCTCCCTGGCATATCTGCTCTGTCACGTACATTTTAGAATCCCCATTTAGCTTACAAAAAACTGAGGTACAAAGAGGTGGACTTAACCTGCCCAATTTGTGTTCTGCCCGCTACACTAAACAAATGCATTACCTCAGAGCTGCTAAAATGATATATACCTGTACACATCAGCTTCAACAGATTTAGAAGATCCTTGATTGAGTGGTAGAATTAAAGAGGAGGTAGGGACCAGGGCTTTTGCTATAGATACAAGATTTCATCTTGTGGAGTTTATAATCTGATAGGGGAGGCAGAAACTAAGTTCACCAAAAATATTTCCCTTATTAGGGAAAGTTTCACAATGCAATATGTCTTTGCAATTCTTTCATATAACATTCAAAAGTTGAGGATTGAGTAAAATTATTGCCTCTTGAATATTTGACTGTTAATCTTGAAAGAAAGTTTAGTTGAGAATAACAGCTGAGAGTTTGTTGTGACAGAACTGAACTAGTCATTAGAATGAATTAAAATGTGGGTGAGTAATTTAGGGTGGTAATCAGGGCTAGAATGTGGGTGGAAGTGGACAGGAAAGAAAGAGAAATGAAGATGGAAATGATAGGATGTTGAAACAAAGATTATCTTGATCACACAGTTGAGTGAAGCTCGAAATTACTTTTAGGTAATTGGTAGAACTCACAAAAGGCTAAGTTAACTTTTGTATTTGAGGCACATTGCTTATCCTGATTGCATGAACTTTTCCTAGTTTTATGCGTATCCCTCTAGAAAGGTAGCATTGTTTGAAAATTTTTTTTTAATTAGGAATTTTTTAGTCTCTTGCTTTGCTATTAGTATTAGCAACAGAAACTAACAGTAAGATTTATCCAAATCTTTCTGTGTTCCAGGCATAATGCCTGCTATTTTATATGAAGTATTTCATTTTACTTTATAAAAGTCCTAGAGATGGCTCACTATTATTCTTACTTTACACTTGAAGAAACTCAGGCTTAGGGACACAGCATTCCCTTTCTAAGGTCACAGAACTTTCAAGTGCCTAAGCCAAGATGTAAACCAGGTGGTGTGACTCCAAACTCAAGCACTCAAAACTCTGCACTGTACAAGAAATAGACAGTGTCCTGATGTAGCCACTTCCTTCCGAGTTGGCTCAGAGCTAGCATGTCCACATATGAGAAGATTAGCCTTCGAAAAACTTTGTCTTTCAGTTCTCCTGACTATAGTTCTTTAGACCTTTGTCTTGAGAATGAATATTAGGGGAAAGCTGAGCCTCGTAAAAAATAGTTAAAAGTTATCTTTTTTTTTCAACACCAGACAAATTGTAGATCTCTTCATGATTCATTCTGCTGAACTATGCAAACATCATAGTATAAAAGTTATCTCAATGAAGGTAGAGAAGCTTCCTATGTTTATACCTTGCTTGACAAAGCTGTTAAAAATATTTCTTTACTTTTTCAATGCAAAAGAGAGCTGTACTTGTGCATGCTTAGTTGTTCCAGATACCTGTGTTGAAATTATACTGAAGAGAGTCTTGATAAGGAAGGCACTTGGGACAATGAAAGTGAATATAACTATCCCAGTGATGTTTATCCATCCATCTCTTCCAAGCTATGTACTTGCTGTGCTACCTGCTGAGATACAGAAATAAAGACAATATTGTCACCAATTTCATCTTGTGGAGTTTATAATCTCATGGGGGAGGCAGAAATTTTAAAAGTTGACCAAAAATATTTAATTACTGTTAAATTGGATTTTGAAAACTCTAATAAAATTCTAAATGCGATTGCTTTCCAGTTAACTGTAATGGCCTCCATAGCTTTGAATGCTGGGGAATGGCTAGTTAATGACCGCAAGTACACTAGCTCTGTGTAAATAAGTATACAATTATAGACTCAGTGTATTAAAATAACTGAGGCAATAAGTATTAAAAAGGCTACTGTCTTCCATAGGTTAAAGTGCTATGTAAGTAGAGGAAAATAGCATACTTAAATATCGTCATTATTTATGTTCTACATTGCTTATTTATTGCTGTGTTATGAAACAGACAAATACTGATCTTGGGCTGCTGTTATAGGGAAATTTTAAAAAATAAGTTATCACTGGTTCTTCTTTTGCTTCTTGTTTCTGCTGTATTGTCCTGGACACTAAGTGAAAGAGACATTCTAAGGAAGACAAAGAACAGCAGCCCTAAGCCAGAAGATCTCCAAACCTATTTTTTCTGTATAGTTTTATTTTTTGAAACCAAACCCCAAAGTTATAAAGCAATATTCAAGCATGTCCAAAGCTTTATTAAAAGTTTTGTGTTTGATATTAAAACTGAGTAAGAGTTCCTAGGTAACACATGTACTTGAAGCCTTAATCCATGAAAATTATCTCCCTTGAGCTTAGGCTGGATGAAATTGTGCTGTGTCTCCTGCCTGTTTAGGTCCCTGGAAAATGCATAGAGTGAAATTTGCACCTTTATGGATTCTTGAAAGAATGTCTCTGTATTTCCCTGCGTTTATATGGGCCATGCTACAGTGGCACAGTGACAGTATTATTGAGTTTCTAAATTCCTATATTGGTTTTTAATAAACTCATGACTTTCTTTCCCACTGAATTTTCTGACAGGCCCAGTTTGAACTTCGTACATTTCATATCCGGGGTGAGCATGCAGTGATAACAGCGAGACTAGAAGAAACCATTGAAAATCTGAAACACGAGTTAGAACATAGATGGCGAGGGGGTTGTGAAGAGAGGAAAGATGCGTGCATTTCCACCGATGATGACTGCCCTCCAAAGACCTACAGAAATGTGTGCATTCAGACAGACAGAGAGACCTTCCTCAAGCCCAGCGAAGGTGAAAGCAAGACAATCAGAAGTAATCAATTAGTACCCAAAAAGCTGAATATCTCCTCTTTAAGCCAGCTCTCTCCCACAAATGACCACAAAGACATCCATGCAGCACTCCAGCCAATGGAAGGCACCGAGTCAAATCAGCAGATGGCACCCCCTCCACCTCCTGCACCGCCCCTGCCAGCATCCATCCCTCCCCCTCCGCCTCTTCCCCCAGGACTTGGATCTTTGTCTCCAGCACCTCCAATGCCACCGCCACCACCTCCACCGCCACCCCCACCACCACCTCTACCTCCACCTTCAAGTGTTGGACCTCCACCACCCCCACCACCACCCCCACTTCCTAACTTCCCTGCCCCACTCAACCCTGGAGGGCCTCCTCCTGCTCCAACCCCCCCAGGACTTGCACCCCCACCTCCCCCTGGACTCTTCTTTGGACTTGGCTCTTCTTCCAGTCAATGTCCTCGAAAACCAGCCATTGAGCCCAGTTGTCCCATGAAGCCTTTATACTGGACTAGGATACAAATAAGTGATAGGAGGTAAGCTCTCCCCTATCCCATTTTCAGCACGTGAATTCCCAGGATTTTACCCAAATGATGTTTTATTTTTACCGGGTCAAGGTGTCCATAGTGTAACACCCATTATCTAGTGTAATACAGTGAATGCCTTGGATAAACAAGGTTGGGATGTTTGGGGAGAATGTCTGTCTCCAGCAAGGCCTCTCTATATTCTCTAAAGATGCTGGAAGAAACAATGTGTTTCAGTGTCAAATTTTTCTCTAAGGCAAATGTTCAATTGTATAGACTGGAGTCCAGGTCTAAACCAGGGCTTTCCCCAACATCGCTACAACTGATGAGTAATCATAAAGCATTGAACCTGATTCCATACTGTAGGTTCACTGAGGATTTTTCTAATACTTTTTACTGTCTTGTTTTTAGATGCTGTAATCAACCTATAATCTAGATATTTAATAGAAATGGGTGTTTTCAATTTTTATTAAAAGAACAAGATAGGGATCAGTTATTAGTTCTTTAGATTAGAAGAGAGTCTTGAAATATAAACTCTCTCTGCTTGAACGCTATTTCTTCTAACTTTTAAATACTCTCACATCTTTCTTTATACCTTGATGCCCTTCAAAGAAAATATCAGTATGTGGATAGCTGAAAGCATCTTCCATATATACAGGTTGATAAGCTGGGTTTGTAAGGTAGCAAGATACAGTTGCTTGGAAACATCCATTCAAACAGATTTGAATGTGATTTGTTCGGCCTTATTTTTGAGCCTGGATGGAGGACAATGAGAGACATGTTGCCTCTCGACCACTTCCTCCTTTAAAGTTTGTTTGTAAAGAACAGCAAATATAGGATACATTTTACAACTGTTCCCAAGTTGTGATGTGGTAGTAAATTCTTCAATTTATGTAACATTTTGCTTACGGAAGGCAGGATATGAAAGAAAATAACACACAAGTCACAATTATAAAACAGCCAGAAATCACTGTGGAGGAACACGAAATACCTTAAAACTAAGCATATGTGCTTCATATTTTCCCCTTTCCTCTCGCCAAAAACTAAGGGCCAAGAGTTAATTTTTGGAATACGCTGATACTTCTTTTTTCAAAATTTAAGTATACTTCGTAATTTCCCAAATGAATAGTTAATAAAAAAGTGAGATGATCCTGTAATAACTTCTGCCATTAACTAAAGTACTAGTATTCCCTTTTCCCCAATAAAGACTCAGACATTTACTAAAAAATCATTTCCCGGAATATTTATTCTGAGTCATGTTTCCTTATTAGTGTTCTCAAATTAGTGCACAGCCATTCCAGGGTGATGGCTGCCACCTGTAAGCCTTGGACGAGTATGTCCGGCAGTGCAGGGAGCTGTTCCACACCTGTGTCCTACTAGCCTGCTTTCATTTCCTTCCCTGAGACACTTCATGAGCAGCAGATACTGTAGACCACAGCAGCCGTAAAACAGTGGCCCTGGGAGATATGGGCCGTTCACCCAAGACCAAGGGAAAGCTAGGGATAATCATTGTCGGCCTTGTTTCCTCCTTATGTGGTTGACCATTTGGAGAAGAATACAAATTGGATACTCAAGATCTCATTGGTTTCATCATAAATCTAGGCTTTTACTTTTGAACAAATGAAAAGCAGATGAATAGGACATCAAGAGAGCCCTGCTTGGTGAGCGTATCACCCTTGAGCCTGAAATATAACATAGGGGCTGCCCCGCTGTGATGTGTTAAGACTTATTGCATGGGGACTTCCTAATGACACCACATATTCAATCTCTTTTATTATGGTCCCTCCAACTTTTTCTACCTATTAGAACTACTGCTTTTAAATGAAAATGATTCAGAGTCTGTGCAGTGTTTGCTTATGAGCAAAAGTGCAATTATTTGGGTACCTTCTTATAAAGGAGGCAAAATCGTATTTTAACATTTTGTGCAACTAGAGGTGTAAGTAGTTTATATAATGATTGCATCATAAATGTTGGTCTTGCTTTTTGGGAAGCCAGAAACAAAATGTGAATTTTCAGCATTGTATATACACTGCCACTCATCCACCTCAATTGCTTTTGACTACTGGTATGAACTGATTTTTTTCTGTTGCCATTTTGCCTTATTTGGTGTCTGTTTTGTGATTTCTAGAATAAGAAAGAGACAATTAGTTAAAGAAAAATAAATCCTCATCTAACTACCTTTTCAGCTTTTTAGTAAGTTTCTCATTTTCCTCCTCTTCTTTCTTTCTCTTCCTCTCCCTGCTTTCCATGTGAGCTAGAATTTTATGTTCAGTGGTCAGTTGACCACCATGGCAGGTCATTCATTGTGAAGCAGGTCCTTATTATTGCCCTACCCAATGCTGGCCATCCCCAAATCACTGAGAGGCAGTGTTCCAAAATTCTTTTATTCAGTATTGGAAGTGCCTTTCCCATAGAAATAGTGTTATAAATGGTGATCAGGTGCTCAAACTGATCACCATTGATTCCCAAAGCCAATTTACACCAGAGTATAAGTGAATTACAATACTAGTTATACTGACCTGATCTCAGAGTCCATGTAGCTAGAACCAACCAGGTGCAGGAAGTGGGGATAGGGCTGAGCAGTTGGCCTATCACATTGCCTCACCTCACTCTAGGCATCACTCCTTAGCTGCCCAGAACCTTCCCAAGGCCCATACCAGTGGCCCTTAACATGCCACATGCTCACTCCAGAATTCCATGGCTGGGTTCCTCAATCAAGATCCCACCTTTCCCCACCTCTCCCCCAGCACCACAATGATAAGCACTGAACATTAGTGGCGCTCATGTTTCAAGTTGAAGTTAGGTGAGTAGCAGAGGGGAATGGCTGAGGGAGGAACACATACAGGGATATACTTCACTGGAAATGTTCTAGCCCTTGGGTTGGGTAATGGTTTCCCAGGTGTTCATTATATTGTTATACTTTATAACTTCCATATGTCACATATATACTATTAAATGATTCAACCATTAGAAAAATCATAATTTAAAAAAATAACAAAAAGCAGAGGAGAGAAGAGGTGAATGTGATCAAACCCAAAATGTCATATAGCATGGGAAAGGCAGATCTATTGCAAAATGTGAACATGCATGCCTGAGAAGCCAGTGCTGCCAACTGTTTTAAACATCAAAATCACCTGTAGTATCAAAAAATTTGGTGGACCATTCTATATAATAATAGTTATCTTTTTAGTTTTCATTGAGAAAATATGTATGGAAACAAAGTTATATATTTTAGATGTTATGGATTGTAACATATACATATGTTTGATAAATAATAAGTATGTAGATAAAATTTTTTTCCATCTGTGGGCATTGAAAGTGTTTATTATTATTTTTGAGATGTACTCTTGTTCTATCACCTGTGCAGTGACACAACCTTGGCTCATTGCAACCTATGCCCCCCAGGTTCAATCCTTCTGCCTCAGTCTCCCAAGTAACTGGGATTACAGGCACACTCCACCACGGCCAGCTAATTTTTTGTATTTTTAGTAAAGACAGGGTTTCACCATGTTGGCCAGGATGGTCTTGAACTCCTGACCAAGTAATCTGCCCACCTCAGCCTCACAAAGTGCTTTTCTTTCTTCCCTCCCAAACTTGGGTGCTCATTTCTGGAAGACGAATCAGCACAATTACCCTGTGGCTCCTTTAGTTGAAATCCCATGAGGGCTGGTGTAATGGAGGAGGTTTTTGGTTGGTTTTTGATGTTACATTGTTTAGGGGATTTAGATACTATAAATCATGTTATTTTAAAATAAGCTTAGCCTCTTCACAGATTAAGGACTTTGCACTGAGTTAACCTGCATTAATCCTAAAAGCTGTATTTAAAAGTAGTTGAAAAAGTCCAAAGAGGAGGCAGATCTTTAATTCGGTACTCCATTTTCAATCTACTTCAGAATTAGCCTGTCAAAGTCTCAAATTGTTTTATATTTTCAGCCTTTATATGATGCCAATTTTTACACATCATGGAAATGCCCAGATCGAAGGAGGAGCAGCTTGGGTGCCCCTAGTAATCCAAATCCCACGATTTATAGCCCCAAGGAGTTTCTCTAGAGCACTATCTCTGATTGTTCCTAATGACAGTTGTTTTTTTTGGAAATATGTCTGTGTGTGTTTTAATGTTCTATAGTATATTTTGACTTTAACAAATGCATAACATGAAAAGCCTTTCTCCAAGCATTATTAGAGTTTTATGTTTTTTTTTAAAGTAAAATAAAAAATGGATTAGAGAAAGATTTCATTGTATTATATTCTCTCCTATTTTGGTTCTTATGGTTAACTTGTTGTTTTCTCTTTTAAGCCAAAATGCTGCACCAACCTTATGGGACTCCTTAGAAGAACCCGACATTCGGGACCCCAGTGAATTTGAGTATTTATTCTCCAAAGACACAACTCAACAGAAGAAAAAACCTCTGTCGGAGACTTATGAGAAAAAAAACAAGGTCAAAAAGGTACTGAGTGATTATAGCAAAGCTGTAATTATATATATATGTGTATATATATATATAATTATATATAAATATATATATGTGTAATATAATCATATACACATATATATACACACATACACACATGTATATATACACACACACACATATATGTGTATATATAATACAGGGAAATGGTATATATATATATCATGTCTACATACACGTACATATACATATATGTGTCATTCATGGGAATTTATTACATATTCATTGTATGTGTGTGTGTATATGAGTCATGGGAATTGATTACATGCTGTTGGTTTGCTTTCCCTGTTTTCAGGAAATGCTTCAGAAGGTTTTGAGTGGTAGATGGCAAGGGAGCCAATAGTTCATGCCATCTGTGCTTACTATTTTGGCCATATCTTCTGAATTTTCAAAATTTAATCTGGACTTTTTTAACCATTAATTCATTGAAATAAAAATAAAAATTTGTGGTTAGTGAAAGTAGTCTGTAGGTTATATGAAAAATAGGTTTTATCTATAAATTCATTTATTTAACAAATATTTCCTAGGAGTTTACTGTGCTAGGCATTTGTCCTAGGCCTGCACTGTCCAGTATGGTAACATGTGGCTATTAAATAATGAAATAAAATAATGTAGTTCTTTAATTGTGCTAGCCACTTTACAATTTTGTTGTTGTGGCTAATGGCTACTATATTGGATAGCAGAGATGTAAAACATTTCCATCATATAAAAAGCTCTGTTGGACAGCACTGTCATAAGCATTTGGATGTGTTGAGGGCAAAAAAAAAAAAAAATCTGTCCCCCTTGGAGTTTATATTAACAAATGCTAAACACAAACCCTGTCAATCACATATTAGTGCAGGAGGAGGAGGGCCAACTTTAGTAGGGTGGGAATGAAGTCTGTAATTTAAAATGGGGTGTTCAGGGTAGGCCTCATTATGAAGGTGACTTCTCAGTAGTGACTCAAGGATTGAAAACTGAGAGGCACCAGCCATCTGTAAGAGAATGAGTTTAAGATTGTCAAGCAGTCAGGCAACCATGAGGATGAATCACACTCTGCCACACACTCACTGTGAGATCTGAGGCAGTGATGCTAGGTCTTTCCACTCTGTGTGTCTGGGTCCCTGCATCATAGCATGAGATGATGTCTGCTCATAATGTTCCTCTAATTATTCAATGAGGTAATACATGTATCAGGCTCAGCACACTGTCAGTGCTCAACATATTATAGCTGCCCTTGCTTTTGCTACTGTTACTACCACGGCTACCATTTCCCTGTTTTAGTGGGTTTTTGTTTGGTTGGTTGGTTTTCCTTATTTTTAATAGTAGCAGAAATGGTGGCAAGGAAAAAGTGTAGTACTCTCTGTTCTGCTATTGATTTGCTATGTGAGCTTGGGCTGGTTGTCTTCCTTGTTATATTTTCCCTTCTCTGTAAAATAGGATTAACAGTACCTGAATCTACCTGACCCTCTAGAATGTTGTGAAATTCACATCTAAGAGGGTCTGAGGCAGTGTTTTGAAAAGTGTATCATATTGAATGATAACATCAACCCTTTTTTGTGTGTGTGTGATAGAATCTCGCTCTTGTCGCCCAGGTTGGAGTGATCTCAACTCACTGCAACCTCCTCCTCCTGGGTTCAAGCAATTCTCCTGCCTCAGCCTCCCAAGTAGCTAGGATTACAGGCATGCGCCACCATACCTGGCTAATTTTCTATTTTCAGTAGAGACGGGTTTCACCAGGTTGTCCAAATTGGTCTCAAACTCCTGACCTCAGGTGATCTGCCCAACTCAGCCTCTCAAAGAGCTGGGATTACAGGTGTGAGCCACCATGCCTGGCCACCCTTCCTTCTTAAATTATATAGTGGGGTTCATCATCAGTTCATTTCTCAAGTAATGTAATGATGATGAAATTAGCTGCAGATTACTGGGGACAAATGGAAAATGTCTGAATATAGTTTTCTGTTCATCAAATCAGATTTTCCCACTGACTTTAATTATGGATACAATCGTGATCAAAATTTTTTGTCTCTCAAGTTCGCTGGAATTGTGTTGTCTTGAGAAAAATATCCAAATAAGTATTAAAGCAAAATTTTAAGAGGCTATATTGCATGGAACAAATTGAATTTTTCTAATAAATTGGCTCTGTGATCCCAACCAAATCTCATCTCTCATTGTAATCCCCAGCCGGGTGTGGTGGCTTATGCCTGTAATCCCAGCACTTTGGAAGGCCGAGGTGGGCAGACCACCTGAGGCCAGGGGTTTGAGACCAGCCTAATTAACATGGAGAAACCCTGTCTCTACTAAAAATACAAAAATTAGCCCCGCATGGTGGCAGGCACCTGTAATCCCAGCTACTCGGGAGGTTGAGGGAGGAGAATCACTTGAACCTGGGAGGCAGAGGTTGCAGTGAGCCGAGATCGAGCCATTGCACTCCAGCCTGCACAAGAAGAGCGAAATTCCATCTCAAAAAAAAAAATTATAATCTCCACATGTCCAGGAGGCACCAGGTGGGAGGTGATTAGATCATGGGGGCAGATTTCCCCTTTCAGTGAATGAGTTCTCATGAAATTTGGTTGTTTGATAAGTGTCTGGTGCCACTCCCACCCCACCCTCTCTCTCCTGCTGCCGTGTTGGTAGTATTTTTATAGCCACATTAATCTATTTCAGTGTGAAAATAGATTAATACAAATAGTAAGTTCCAGATAAATCCGGACCCCACCGCAAAAAAAAAAAGTCAGCTGATTTACATAAAATGTATTCTCATGCAATTAGATTCATATTAGATGTAGCCAGGCTGGCTTTTTAAATGCCACCTGTAGAAACAGAAGACTTGTTTCTACCTGAATGTAAAAATGAAAATCTCTATATTCAAATGGTAATTTCAGTTTGCCTCTTTCAGGAAGGCTTCTCTGACTAATCAGAAACTCTGCTGAATACTTTCTTATGCAAGATCATATTAAACTTACTTTTGTTCTGTATTGCTTCTTAGATTGCTATTACTCTTCATTTCTCTCCAGATGCATGAAAACATGTTGTTTACTCATAGAACTATGCACTTCTGTTTTGGTGAATGAATATTGTTTTTAAAACATTGAAGCATTTGGTCATTTATTCTTATTTCTTTTCTTACAATGGTTTGCGTGTTCAACAAAGGATTTTAACTAAGCCAGTTAGTACTTGATAAATTCATTTTGTTTCTCTGTCTGAGGGGGGAAATACGCTTCATTTAAACTCTAAGTTTTCTGTATACGGTGGTTGCCATTGCCCCATAGAATCTATGCACTTGAGTAGTGCTTGCTTTTCTCTGTAAGTGGAGGCAAAAAAAAAAAAAAAAAATGGGTCTACTGGGCTTTGTGGTAATATGCAGCTTGGAGTTTTCAGTGAGCTTTATGTCCTACCTTAGAGCTAAGGTTTTAAGTTTTAAAGAAAATAGCAAGCTGAACTGATGCCAGAAAACTCCAAACCTGCCTCCTATGATCTTTCCTCCATGCCTGTGGCCAGATTTCCAACATCAAGATGGATCCCTTGGTCTCTTCTGAGAGTCAGATGTTTGTTTTCTTCCCTTTTGAAAATGAAAAGTGGTTTTGGAGGTGGTGAGCAGCTGAGGAGTTTCAGCATTGAAGACCAACTCCTTCAACTGGATCATGGAATGGTTCCCATATGAGAAGACCAGAAAGACACTTGCCAAATAGGTCTTTTTATAATGAAATGACTGAACAGGAGAAAGAACTGGGTATATTACTGGATTTCAAAATCAAGGATTCTGAATCTCGGCTCTAGGGCCTCAGCAGCATTGAAATGTGAATATGAAAATATGAATCTCTCTCTTTTTTTTTTTTTTGAGACAGAATTTTGCTCTTGTCACCCAGGCTGGAGTGCAATGGCACGATCTTGGCTCACTGCAACCTCCGCCACCCGGGTTCAAGAGAATCTCCTGCCTCAGCATCCCAAGTAGCTAAGATTACAGATAGCTGCCACAATGCCCAGCTAATTTTTGTATTTTTAGTAGAGGTGGACCGGGGTTCACCATGTTGACCAGCCTGGTCTCAAACTCCTCACCTCAGGTGATCCACACACCTCAGCCTCCCAAAGTGCTGGGATTGCAGGTGTAAGCCACTGTGCCTAGCCATGAATATCCCTTAAACACAGCTGGTCTTCGTCCCTCAGCGCATTACACATTTGTATGTCAGAAGTAGTAGGATGATCAAGAGTCTGGACTCAGATATTAATTTCTAACTTCAACTACTACAATAGTATTTAAATTTCATATCACTGGCAGTTGTTTAAAGTAACTCTCTATATATATCTTCTTAAACTAGGCAGGGATACTCTTCTGTAATATCATGTAGTCTAAGAATTGGAAGGAATCTTACCCATCATCTAACTCAGTTCTCTCATTTGGCACATGAGAAACTGAGACCTAGAAAGATAAAGTGACTTGTAGGGGTTTGCACACTTTTAACTGGGAAGACATTGATAATGATGAACACTTGTTCATCAGCATGTGTCTGCATTTCCTCTTTATTTAAATGGTAATTTGCCACATTGGCGAGAGTATTAACTTGCGCTGGGGTGATTTATTTGAAGTTTATAAATGAGAGTAGTCATTGTTAAAATCATCAACAAAATACAGCCACACTTCTGCAAATCCAAAGTATTTCCTACATTGTATAATTATCCACAGTTTTCTTCAGAGCCTTCCAATAGGAAGCCAAATCTTTGAGTAAAAAAATGTACTTTCTATGTAACTCCAGCAAAAGACATACAGATTTGGAGCTGGTGTTTTCTTTGACCTTATCAATACCATTTAAAATATTAGCTATAATAAAATTAATAGAAATTATTACACATTTGTATTGCATAGTTAGGTCGGTGCCATGCTCATTTGTGATACTAGACCACTCTGCTACTACACAATAGTAACCAAACTGAGAACCAGAGCTCACAATACCAGCTCTCAGTAAAACCACTACCACTTGGTACTGTCTGTTATTTTT